TTAGAATTTTGGTAGAATTTTTTGGAATTGTCGAAAATTATTTCTTTTGAAATTTGTGTTACATTTTTTAGAACCCTCGCAATTAATTTGGAATTACAGGAATTGTTTTAGAATTACGAAAATAAACTTGGAATTACGGAACTTAAGTTGAAACTACAGAAATTATTTGGAATTAATCTAAAAACAATGAAATTACATGAATTAATCTAAAAACAATAAAATTACAATAGATTATTGGAATTTCGGTAGAATTTTTTGGAATTGTCGGAGATATCTTTTGAAAATTGTGTTTTATTTCTTAGCATTTTCGCAATTAATTTGGAATTACAGAAATTGTTTTGGAATTACGAAAATTAAGTTGGAATTATAGGAATTGTTGTGGAATTACGATAGTTAAGTTGGAATTACATTAATTAATTTGGATTTATAGGATTTATTCTAAAAACAATAAAATTACAAGAATTTTACTGAAAATTACAAAATTACAGGAATTAATCTGAAAACAACGAAATTACAATAGATTATTGGAATTTCGGTGGAATTTATTAGAATTGTCGGAAATATTTTTTTTTTGAAAATTGTGTTACATTTCTTAGAACTTTCACAAGAATACAAGAATAGTTTTGAAATTAACAAAGTTAAAAACAAAGTTGGAAATACAGGAATTAAATTGGAATTACAGGAATTAATCTGAAAACATCGAAGTGACAAAGAATTATTCGAATTTCCGTGGAATTTTTTGGAATTGTCGAAGACGATATCTTTTCAAAATTATATTATATTTCTAAGCATTTTCGCAATTAATTTGGAATTACAGAAATTGTTTTGGAATTACGAAAATTAAGTTCGAATTATAGGAATTAATTTGGAATTATAGGATTTAATCTAAAAACAATAAAAATACATACATAAAATTACAGGAATTTTACTGAAAATAACAAAATTACAGGAATTAAACTGAAAATAACGAAATTACAATAGATTATTGGAATTTCGGTGGAATTGTCAGAGATATATTTTTTTGAAAATTGTGTTACATTTCTTAGAACTGTCGCAAATAATTTGTAATTACAGGAATTGTTTTGGAATTATGAAAATTAAATTGTAATTACGGAGAATAAGTTGGAATTATAGAAATTAACCAGAAAACAATATAAATGCGGTGGGTTATTGGAATTAATGAAATTTCGGTGGAATTTTTTGGAATTGGAATTATGTGTCCACATTTTTCTCATGACACGGTTAAATTCGTGTAAAGTGAAGAGCTTCGGAAACAAATTAAAAATCGTGTTTTCCCACGAGAAACACTTGGATTTAGTGTGACTTAATTAGATAAGTTTTCCGCAAGAAGTTCTATTTTCCGGAACGTAGGCAGGATAATAGTGTGTCATAAAACATTATCCTTTATTACATGATTTCCACGACAAGTACTCTGAGATGACAACGGCAAAACACGTATGCGACAACCATAAAACGAAAATTAGACAATAAATTTTTTCAAAGAATTTTTCGTTTTATACTAACTCAAACTGGCAAAATTGTAAACTTAATTTTCTTTCCATCTAGACGCAATAAAAAGAAGAGAATTATTATTTCACCGGAGAAACGTTAAAACAACATAAAATTTATTATCTCACAGAAAAATTGATATTTGCCTGTAAAAACACTTTCTGTTAAATTCAAATTGAGCTCCAGTAATTGAGATATTTGAGTTTGAGGAGGTCGAAGGCCAAACGAGTCGGTCAGGTTATTTTTAGTCGCAAACCAGGGTGTTGAGGTGGTGTAAAATACGCATTAAGCGATGATAGTAACAAGGTTTTAAGCCTGATGGAATACCGCAACTGTGGGTGGGATCAATCTGGGCATGAATTAATCATGCCGACGCAAATTTACGACAGTTATTAAAACAAATTTCGCTTGAGATTGCAACTATTCGATTACAAGTCGTTTTTAAACACGACAAAATTAACAAGTTTTAGATATTTATAAACGAGATTGGAAAAATTAAAAAAATCTGGTGTGAACATCACGACTTTCCTTATCCTACTTATTAGGAAAACATCCTAATAACGACAATAATTTAGAGTACCCTTTGCGTTAGTGCCAACGCGAAATAGATCAAGTTCGAGTCTGGGGTACAGTTTTTTTTTAGTTCGGTACTCATTATTATTTTTATTTTATCACATTTTACTGTTTAATAAGGTATATTTTATGATTTTTATCCCCATGAATTTATTTATAGTATCGTCAACCGTATAATTTTGATTTTTGGTGTTTGCGGCCGAACGGTGGGACCGATTTTTACCAATTGTTTAAAGTAAATTACACACACACACACACACACGACCCAATGACCCAAACCAACTTTTTTGGTGTCTTGAAGCTATAATTCGTCCAGAAATGTAAAAATATGGGTAGGTCAAATTTCAGCCGATTACAAAAGAAGTAAGAATTCGATACAAAAAGTTGTAATCTTTTGAATGCTGGTTGCTTTTTATTTCTTTTCAATAAGACTGATTTCAAAAATCTCACATCGAAAATTCTATAGAAAATTGATTTTCTCGTCGTTGGCAAACTGATTGACGTTTATTAGAGACAAAAATTGATATTGATTTTACGTTTCGTGCAATTTTCATTATTTAATACAATAAATATTTTGTTCTCTTTATTTAGACACAATGTATTTTTATTTTAACGATAAAAATGGAACAAACTTTATAAGTATATCGACTTGAGCGCATATTTTTTGCAGCACTGCATCGCCAGGGAGTTGTAAAATAAACTCGCAAGATACAAGCGGAAACTTTTAACATCTGCTACGACTTTTATTCATTCAAGCATTATTGGAAAAATGGACAAAGTAACTCATCTTCGTTGTCGATTTTTTTATTAAAATTCTAATGATTTTCATTAGGTACAAATTAAAGGCACGGTGTTGTACAGTTGTAGTACAGGGGTGGTCCAAAAGTGTGGAAACGATTTAATTCTGGCGAAACTATCAATTTTTTGGCAAATAAATTTCTAGGTGTGCAATGGCTATTAAAATGCTATTCAAAAAAAAGATTATTAATTAATTGTTTATATTTACGAGATAAAAACAGTAGCAATTTTTTTTAATGGACGCCTACCACAATTTTTTTAGACAACGAGCTTGTTACAAGAATTGTTGCTGTTTAGAAAAAAAAAATTTCTAAACCTCGCACTTTTTTGTTAAAAAAATGTTTGACTTACAAGAATTAAAGAATTTTTTTAGTAAACTACCAGTTTTTTTGAGTATAAATTAAGAAAGTTTTGAAAATAGATAAAGTATATTTTTTTTAACATAAATTGTAACATTTTCAATCAAAATTTTTGTACAAATGCATAAACATATCTTTGTAAAACAATAAATAAAAAACAGTTTTTATTTAAGAAAAAAATGATTAGTATGGTAAACTCAAAAATTTAAAATATTTTGGCATCGCTTCTTTACAACCTTTAAACTTTTATTAACTTATTTCCAAAAAAACTGGTTGTTTACTCAAAAAAAATTCTTTAATTTTTGTAAGTCAAACATTTTTTTTACAAAAAATTGTGATGTTTACAAAAAAATGCTTGCACAGCAGCATCTTGTAACAAGCCCGTTGTCTAAAAAAAATTGTGGTAGCTTTCCATTAAAAAAAATTGTTACTATGTATATCTCGTAAGTATAAACAATTAATTACTATTCAAAATTTTTTTTGAATAGCATTTTTATAGCCATTGCACACACTATAAATTTATTTACCAAAAAAATTGGTGTTTTCGCCAGAATAAAATCGTTTCCAGACTTTTGGACCAGTCTATATGTTATGCTACTAGGAGTAAAAATGATAGTTTATGTGACGAAACTGAACGTTTATTTCGCCGATCGTGTAAGGCAAATAATTCAACAACGCTATAATTAGCCAGTAAATGAAGAAAATAATCAAAACGCTTTGTAAGTAATGAACGTAAACAAACACCACGTGTCAGTATTAAATATTTTCGAGTATTTATTAATTTAACTGGTGCAGTTAGTAGTGTAAAATGTCGAATGCTGATGATCTATAATGTACCTCTCCAGACATTGCGGAAGCAGCAAACAACAGTGGTAAATGTCAATAATATCATGGTAAAAGTAAAAACGCCTAGGCGCAAAAATAGAATTTTTACTCCATATAGCTGAAAGGTAAAACTTTTACTTCTGATATTTAGTCATAAAAATCATCATCATTTCAATTCATCATCATTTCAATCATTTTAATTATTGTAACAGTACTTAGCAATTGTCCAATTTCGTTGGTTTAAAATTTTATGTTAAAAATTTCATTGGGTGTAATAACTATTTACACATAAAATAAACCGTATTTGAATTATTTAATCTTGTAATGCTTTTACAGCCATTTACTTCGTGTTAATTACTCTTCGCTCGTAAAATTCAAAAACCGCAACTTTTTTGATAAGCTAAAACTAGTTATAAAATGCATTACGTTTAATTAAGTTTTTTTCTTTTTCTTTGTGCTTAAATTGAGATTTATGCCCAAGCTAAAATCGTCTGGTGTAGACCATCAGACGATTTAATGTGTGCTTGGAAGGCAATTAGAACAACCTTAGAGTACTTTTCTTTCTCTCGCATATTGATGTTTTCTTTATTTTGAAATTAAATTGCGCTTTATGCTCCGTTGAACAAATTTTGAGTCACAGTCGAGGAAACATAAAAATGTGTGCAATCAATTAAGCGCAACATAAGTCAAACATCAAGAGGCTGTTTGTGATAACATGCAGATAATTTAGTTAACTAAGCGATCAAAAATTCAAGTGTTGTATAATATCGGCGCAATTTCTATTTGAAATGCGATGCTTTTAAGTCGCAACCAACACAAACCTAGATCAGGATCAATACTCATAAAACATCATATTTGTGCGAAAACTTGCTTCATAAATTTCACTTAAATTTCCAGATAAATTATCATTGACTAAGTTTGAAATCTTTGTTTCAGGACTTGAAAATGCACCAAGTTTTATTTATCGTCCAAGTTGAATTTTGTACAGATCTCGTGTAAAGTTTATGTAGTCGGCGTACCTATGAAGCTGTCAATGCCTACCACGACGATGTTTTCGAAATTTAAGAGCGGGGGCGGCGCACAAAGCCCCCTTGAAACCAATCCAATTGGACAGTTTTTCGAAATTGGAAAACAAACGGCGAGTGCAGGACCGGAATTGGTGTGGAGAATCCATGATGCCTATAGGAAAAGCGACGGAAAGGTGAGAGAAAAACGACATTTCATTCTAATGTCAATAACAAATGTTTCTGCAATTTAATTAATGATAATTACATTAATTAAGCTACGTTTCATGTGCAACTGTTATTTCTCTAATTGAGTTTACTTTCAAAGCAATAGTGCCAGTGGCGTAACTGGAGAGTTGTGTGTTGTGTTTCTTAATTAAATAATACCTTGTTTGCAAAATTACACACATTTTAAGAAAGTTTCTGAAGAGAGTAGTAAAAATTAGAAGTAATTTATTCTTGTAAAATTACATTTTCTAGAACCACAAAAAATGTAATAATTTTGTTACCTTAATTTTAATGTAAATGTAAAAACAATTATTTA